GTTTTATTAACACAGCCTCACTCAAAGAAAGATTGCCACAGGCTTATTCATATTGTTCCTGTATCAACGAGTAAATAGTAAACAAATTGTACCGTAACAATACTGAACAGAACAATATGAAAGGCTCTTATTTACATTTCATTCTGCGTATCCTCAGTAAATTTTACGATTGAGTGAGAGGTCATATATCTCGGCATATTTTATATAGTTCAGTTGTGAAATGCATCCAAATACTCAAAATATGGAAATGGAAATCTTCACTTTAAAGAACAGTTGTTCGTGGTGTGCCCGCCAAGCATGTCAAATTTGAAATTAACGATTCAGAGGTAAGAAATTGTCTTTTTTACATTGAAGTATAATGTCTCAGTGCTCATGCCCATGCAAAGAAGACCTGAGTAACCTGCTGCAAAGCCTCTGGCGTATCTAGAAAAAATTCTGAGGGGTGCTCAGGATTCATGTTCCGTCCTCTAGGGGCGGGGCTGCGGTCAAAGCTTCTGAGAGCTAATGCTTATGGGACAGCTAGAAAGTGGAGGGGAGAGGGTAAAACCGTACTAGTAGTCAATCATGTAACAAAACGTGCAGCACATTTTTAGACGCTATGTTTCTGCGATTCAGTCGCCATGAGCTGCGCGAGTTCGAATTCCGCCCCACGAGAATTTTTTCTCCACAACGGGGCTAAAATTTGTGTATGTCACATGCACACGTATTCCCTCGCTAGAGTCCGTGTGATGTCCCCTGTTTACCTGTACCCCCATATTATATAAAAAACATAGACCGTGAGGTTCTGAGGGATGGCTTAATCCCCAACCCTCCCCTGAATACGGTAGTGTGTGAAGCAGGCTCGTAGGACAATGTACTGAGCTCCAACCCTCTGAATCCTTAGAACACTAAGAAGATTGGTTATGCCTATTCCTGCAAGGACGAGTCTTGGGGCCTAGCAAAAGAGCGTCATGGGCGGCCTGTGCGTTGCTATCTGTTGGTTGGCGGAATGACTCTAATATTTTTATTCCCTCTTGCTATCTAGGACTGGGCTATATTTAGGGTTAATATCCGATCTAATTGTGAATAGGCTGGAAGGTGAAGCAAGATACCGCTACACCCAAGAGGCAGTGTATACCAACACTGCCAGCCACCCATAATATATTAAACACGTACCGGCATCTGACAAATCGTTTTTACTACACAAAAAAATTAATTTGCTACACACCACCGATCACCAGTGAACTATTATTATACGTAATAACTAAATCATATTTCTTGGTTCGGATCTCGAGAACATAGTCGCCAGTTATGACCCAAATACAACGGTTGTACGTCTACAACGGTAATCGGTAAGTAAATATTCGTCTCATTTTTACCTTCAAATTTAGACTAGTGCAAATAATGTACGAGGATATGCAACAAATGTTGTTTCATTTTCCGTTGTCTCTCATTTAATGAAATGTTCCAAGTATGGTGATAGTGTCTGTTTTTGAAATGGAACACTGTATTTAATACGTTTCCTAGAGTTGCCGATGGGAACTTCTGAGTATCCGAGGAGATACTACCCTGTCACTATTGGTGGTGGTAATATATGCCCAAGCCGTGATTGTCCATTCAAGTTGTAAGTAACTGCAGGTTCACTATTATTTCTGATATCTTCCAAGACATCGATGATTTTACTATTTTAAGTTCTTCGCTAGACTACATTATACTCAAACTTCGCAATATGTATTTTCATCTATGCATGATCATAATACTACCTATACTTGGCGTACTTGGACAATCACAACCCCAGTATTTGTCACTTTTGAAATTGTACTTTTCCGTTTATGCACCCTATTTGTGTCGCATGAGATGAGTACGAGTTGTCTTACCACGTAAATTCTGAACCATGTCGCGTGACTTTGAAATGGTTACGACTGTCAGCTTGACATAAATGAGCTCTTAGTCAGAATGACATTTCGCGCATAAAAATCTAAATTTTAGGAAGGACTTCGAAACTTGACTCCTGGTGTACTAGTGTTGCTTTGACAGGGTTGCCATGCTGGAGGATTTTTTGTGGATATAATACTCTGGGAGATATCACACGTTTCGCGGATAGAAAGTATCCCCCTCGCTCTTTGCTAAAACCAACCCTTTTCCATCAATAACTGTAATTAGTTTTCTTTTTTTTGATAAAGTATCAATACTGAAGGATTTTTGTGCTTGTCTTGGAGAAATTATATCCGACCCATCTGGCAACGCTATGCGTTGACAGAACACCAACAAACGGATTTCAATTTAGTTCATTGTAAATTGACCCAACGATGTTTGCTTATATCTTGTAAATCCTCGTTGTAAACAGTCGGAAATTTGTTGGAAATTGTTACTGGTATTCAGTTATTTGTGAAGAACTGTTGAAAAGCTTGTGTGGTGATGAATTGTTCAACAATTGTAACATATTCGTTGTTTGGAATTCCTGCTGTTCTCCAGAATGCTGATGAAAAGTTCAACCTTTTGTTATTCAAGATGGATTTCTTGATAAAAGAATAAAAAAATCTGCGAGAGCTCGTTCTAGGTGTTTTATAAAAGGTTAGGTTCTGAATCTGATTTGTAACTATGTAAAACCTGTACGTTGGCCACCTGGATAATTAGCATCTAGAGTCTCATAAGGGAGTTCTCACGATTTAGTTTAGTATCAACCTGTAGTTTTAGCAAATTGGTTTGAAGTTGAAATGAACCTTAAAGAATATTAAAAAAATAATTTCATGAAAGCTGAAGACACAGTTATTGGTTCAAATTCTCTTAGTCGAGTAGTATGTGTTCAGAATGACGATAACGTAAAGAATTTTCTTATCAAAAAACTATAATTATTATCGGTTCAAAATTGAGTAATAACCTTGACGAACTAATTTAGAGGAAGAAACATAAATGTATACTTCCCTGATATCTTTCATATAACAAGGCATGTAGCGTGATCCATAACATACCCTTATCAGCCAGTATCAAATGTAGCCGACCCATGTTTTCATTTTTGGTGCCATAAATAGAGCTATTAAGGTGCTCCCAGATGCTGTCGACACGACGCAGTGCAGCGATACTAGGAGTGATAAAACGTTAATTAACGTGACCAAGTGGTCGAGAAATTTTAATTAAGGAAATTAGTCGAAATAAATGGTCGTAACCATAAAATTAATTTTACCACCCTTATATGGTTAATCGTGATGTCACGTTCATGTTCATAGCAGTAAGGTCCATGAAACTATAATTCTGGATTTTTCTTCTATATCTCTTTTTAACAACCGAATTTTACAATAGTTCTTAGATCTAAAGATTATACTTGGCATCTGCATTTACACTAACTAGCATGGCTAAATCCAATAAGGATTTTAAATAATTTTTGGACAATTTTTATGACCCCGCTTTGAAATTGTACAAAATATGGTCGAGATCATGACATTTAATTAGAAATTTGGAAAACCTCAATTAGAACCATCCACAACCCACCACTGTGACACAGCACACTATAGTTAAATGTTTAAATCACTGTTTTTTTAATTAAATTTCACACAGAGACTTATTTGAAACACGCCATTTAACAAACTAACGAAGCTAGTCACATAAAACTAAAGTGCCATATAAAACTTGACGTTTGTTACCCGTCCCTGGGGAATTTTGTCTCCAAGTGGCGTCACGCGTGAGATAGACTGATCACATGCGCGTGGGTTTATCTTTTCGAGTAATAGTAATCATATGCAAGTCGTAATATTACTATCTAGTAAGCTAATTCAAACAAAAGAGTCTTATTTTTCAATCAAAAATGGGTGATCTTGACCCCCTCATGACCATTTAAGTTTCTTGATCTTGAAAGATGTATTAAAAATTAAGTCTACCACTGCTAAATGCCGCACCTCTCTAAACATAGACCAAATCGCGCAAAATTATTTTCATTTTTTGAAGTAGGCAGTCTATAAGAATTAAAAATTATTTTGGGGAGCATAAGAACATATTTTCTAAACGTTAGTAATAATTTTGATAACGGGGTTGGTGTGTAATGCATAAGGGGAAAACTTAGCAGGTAAAAAATCATATGTCAGCCTCTTGATGTTCCTCCGTAGGCATACGTCGCATTTTAAAACCGCACCAATTCCTAATTAAGTTTATGCATTAGAGAAGTTTATAATTTTTTATCAGATGAAATGAAAATTTGAGAAAAATGAAACGAGTGTGATCAAATTATCGATTTATATTTAAAAATAAAAAAGTTGTACACTTTAACAGTTGACGTCACTAATCCGTACCCAGTATAGCGGCTGTCGACTATACGTGGTTGTGGCGACCAATAGTTGTCCTCCGCTCAATTTGTTTCCTTACTTACTAAGTTACTGACTATTTATTATGAGAGAAATTACAAAAAAGGTTATCTTTAATACGTTATTGCTCAAAAATCTACGAGTACGATGATTAAAACATCAAATAAATATTTTGTTAACGTACCTTTGCATAAAAATAGTAGGAAGTTTCATGATTTATAAAGAATTTCCTGATTTAATATCGGGGTGAGAGGATCTTGCACAAATCGTATAGTGTTTCTCTAGCTTGAGATATAACTATTTTAGAGGAAATCGACTATACTCGTTAGATCCATTACCTCAAAAACACCTTCTAATTGCTCAGATTTACTTCCCAGTAGCAAATTTTCCTGACATTGGCAGTTTGACATAAAATGTATAGTCACGTTTTATCAGCATACTGAATAGGAAATCAAGTCAAACCGGCTGACTCCTTCAGCGGGAAATATCGAAATGGGATTTCACTCAGTGCAGAAACTTGGAGTAAGTTTTTTCCAATACAAAAAACGAAGACCAACTGCAGTGTCATTGAAAAATTGATCTATACGAACTTTTTAAGTTACTAAGAAATGCATTTTTGTTTAGTTGATGAAGATTTTAAAATGCGACTTGGTTCGGAATTCATGACTCTTCTGTAGAAGAATAATTATAAGTTTTCTGCAAAATTAAATTACTCGTTTGTTTCAGGCACCGGCATTATCAAGAGGAGAACCAATGGAGCTGTGGCAGTTGGATCGAATACACGTTGGTGGTGGTACTGGCGAGTGTACTGCTCCTGGGAGCACTTGCACTAACCCTCTTCTGGATACTACAGTACCATGGCGGGTTCGCCTGGAGGGAAAACCCAGATAAGCAGTTCAACCTGCATCCAGTGCTCATGGTTGCTGGTTTCATTACATTTAGTGGATTCTGTAAGTAATTATCTCGAACTTATCCATTTATATGTATATAATGTCGTAACTTCTCAAATACAGGTCCAAACATTGATGCTACTCAGTACGTCAGTAAAACATGAGTACGTAGTTCCTGCAGAACAAGTTAGTTTGCTAAATACAAACCAGAAATTAGAGTATATGGAAATAAAAAGACTTCAGGTGAATTAGTACCTACTCAGTTTATTTTTACGAGAGACAACCTATATCACATTTTTTTTGTAGTGAGTCATATCAATTCTGCGAATAGCTATGTGGATAAATATAAATAATAGATAACATACCAAATATATATAGACATCGGTGAATATTCATGGGACCTACCTGTTTCTCTTATAATAATTACAGTCACCGCCTATTTGCAGAAGAACGGTAGATTCGAATGTTAACGAGTTTGAAAAAGATTATTATTGTGCAATTCTATTATCTAACAATAAAGGCATCTAAGTACTATTACAGCGTGACTCGTAGATCAGTATTGACGGTAACGTTAAAATGTTGTTGTCTTCAGATACTCTTTTGTAGCATGAATATTCTCTGTATGGAACAAAAAATGATCCAATATATAATCAAGTACCTCATGTGACAGTAAGCCATTGCAAAATAAGTATCTAGGAGACACCTATGACTACCTGGTCGCCGTAGGTTTCTTAATGCAAAGTATGCCGAGTTAAGCTTACTAGCCACATACTCTATGTGTGTTTCCCAAGGAAGTATTTCGTCCACGTAGAGACCCAGAACAGTGTGGCTTTCTACCTTCACTATGGTTGTACTGTTTAGCATGAGCGTCAGAGTGGGTACGGTTCGTCTTTTATAGAAAACTATATACTTTGTTTTGGATTTATTTACTATCAACTTGTTTACCGCAATCCATTCTAAATTTTTTTGTAAAATCATGTCTGCCTTATCTTCCATTTGTACTTTGTTCTATTTCCGAACGCAAGTAACATGTACGTCAAACAATTTACGAACGCAGCCCAGTTTGTGCAGTGAAAAGTGACATATCGTAGGTTTTTTCTTGACATTTCGAATGTTTTTTGTGATATAACGTAGTTTTTTTTACAAGATGTTAACTTAGCACAAGCTATTGTATACTTGTTATGAACTCGTTTTGTAGCTATGCTTGTTGCTTAAACGTCAGCGAACCGCGAGTATAGCGAACAAACGTGGAATTAACTATTTGCACACTAAAAACTACCTAGCCTGCAAGATGACATTTCGTCGGTTTTTGTTTTACGTTTTTTAGGTTTTTTACGTAATACTCCTGTCGGTGACTTCCCACTGACCAAGCTCGCACTCATATCGTTGATAAACAGCGGGAACATAAATGTAAACGATGAATGCATTTTTTTACTTAATTTAACCTCTTCGTATGTGGGACAAAACTTGGAACTGAATTTTAAATCAGCTAACCTGAACTAATTGAGCCGAAATTTTGTAACCACGTTTAGTTTGCGTGAAAGTGCAAAATGGCGATTTATCACTTCCATAGTTACCTCTATGATATGGGTATCAAATGAAAGGGCTTGATGAGAGAAATACAATAACAAAAGTGACGTCATTCTAATTAAAGGGCTTTATAAGAGAAACATAACAAGCAACGTGGCTTTATTATTCTATAAATTCAATATGGCGAATGAAAGGGCTTAATGAGAGAAATACAATAAACAAATAATAACCTCATTCTAAATTTCATATGGTGATCGCCGCAAAATATCGATTTATATTATATATATTATTATAATATATATATAATATTTATTATATTTATAATTTATACCTATTGAATATTAATGGAATATATGAAAAGTATACAGAAATTCCCAAACTAGTTGACATCAAAAATATTGAAAAGAAAAAATAGATAAAATAGAAAAACTATATGTTAAAGGCAAGCTTTTATTTAGCTCTTAATGGATATGAACTAAAAATTTAGAAATAATGTTTTCCTACTAGTAATAACTAAACGATCATGAAGCCCTTTAATCTCAAGTTTTCAAATAAAAGCGTGTTACGTTTTGATAGCAAGATAGAAAAAAGGTGTAATACGCTTTATTTGAAAACTTGAGAAAACATTGCCAATCGGAGAAAATTATTTCTCAGCTTTTAGTTCATATCATTAACAGCTAAATAAAAGCTTGTTTTGAAAAATGTATTTTTTTATTTTATTTGTTATAAATTCAGTCAAAAAAACATTCATCAATCAATAATTCTTTTCCTGTAGTTTGGATACAGGGTTCATGAAAGTTACATTACCTCTATAAAACATCATATCCATGCTGCGTCAGAACAATAATTTCGTTATATAGAATGATGCAGTGTTCCACCCATTAACGAACAAAGCCGAATTTTCTTCAAATATGCAGCAAGTGTTCGATCCTTCGGTTCCTTAATGTTCTTATGTTGTAACTGATACCGCTAACATACTTATGTGTAATTTAACACTCGAAGGTCGTCGGTAGTGACACTGATGATCAATTCACGATGGCCATAATTACAGCCGATTAAATATAGTTGGAATATACGTAATTCCTAAAAATACTCATGTTTTACTACTTTTTTTAATTTTGATGAAAGCATCATTAAATCATCTCGCATCGAAATAGAACATTATCATCATATCAGAATCGTGTTTTGTTTATGCTGAGCGATGGTACGTTATTCGTGTTTATGCTAATTCTTGCAAAGGGAAATGACTACACTTTAAAATAATTAACCTGAGGTGCTTTATTAAAGAGGCATCTAATACGGACTGCTTTTCTAAAAGGTCCCTTCCCCAGTTATTTTTTCCGTAATGATGAAATTGTTGAATGAGTTTTATATTTCAGTGTCATCTGAAAATTTTAAGTCTTCGGTTGGGTGACACTTTGGAACATTTTTTAAACGGAATGAAGAGCCATGTGATAATTCATTTTGGAGCTCGTTATTACTTTAGACCCATAGAAACAGCGAATTGGCGGTTTGTCAACTTAAAGCGTTTTTGTACATTGAATCGTAAGTCAATAACTAACCATCAGAATGATATATATAATAATAATAATAATGTTTATTGGTCCAATTACAAAGTTTTTGTAGAAATAATAATGGCAATGTCCAATAAACATAATATACACTTGTGTTGGGTTTTAACCGAAGTTGAATTATATTAATACAACAAATTTTCTAGTATACTAGTCAAATGTATAAATTTGCATCACTTTATTATCAAATAACATATTGGTTTTTAGTGTCAACAAACTTATGGATTTGTAGCCTTGGTTGATTTAGGATCCATAATTTTAATTCAATTTTTAAACGTTAAAGTTTGCAGAAATAACATTATAAAATTTTGAGCATCTAAAATAGAATGATCTTTGGCTGATAGTTTTATTTAGTCTAGGAATTAGTGCAGAAGTTTCCTTGAAGCGCGTTTGATGGTTGTGGCTGATAGAATGTATGTAACATTTTTGGATTTTTTGTTAAATATATTATTGTATGATAAAGATAAATTTGCCGGAGTCGAAAAGCTGAGATTCATTGTAAAGATTTTCTGTGGGATAACATTTCTTTTTGTTCAAAATAACTTTCAAAATCCACTTCTGCTAATTTCAATCTTATTATAATAATTATTCGTGACTCCCCCCATGCTAAGATTCCATAAGATAGTAATGATTGAACAAGGGCATGATATACCTGTATCATGTGTAGGTATTTTATTATATTAAAAAACTGCTGAAATATTTGATTTCGGAATAAGAATAATTTTCTTACTAAATTTTAAACATGTATATTCCATCTTAGATGGTTATCTATGAATACCCCTAGTTATTTGAAATTATCAACCGATTGTATATTTCTGCAGCTATTGAACGTTTTAATTTGGAGTTGATTAAAATTTGGGGGAGATCTGTTGTCGCAAAACAATGTAATACAGTATGTTTTGTTGAAATTGACTGATAAAATCCTTTCCGTGAAAACATTTGTAACCTTTCGAAAATCTAGTACAATTTTGTTTTTTAAAGAAATCCAATCTTTGTCTGAATAAATAATTGCCGTATCGTCTGCTAAACCAATAATTTCTCCATCGTTTTTTAACTTGAAAAGGTCATTAATATATATATACAGGGTGACTTCGAAGTTGAGTCATTTATTTTAACAGTGAGTAGATCTGATCAAAAGAAATGTTTTTTCCTTTACCATTTTTCTGGTAAAATTAAAGTAACAAAGTTATAGCCCTTTGGAAGTTTGAGTACCGCCCTGTCTCAATAATAATATCATGTGCTCGTGTTTGACAACAACGGATATAATCCGCCTTATCGGTTTATCGCATCGGAAACAAAAAAGCGAAAGAATTTGGAACGATGTTTTTACAATTATTTTATTCAGTTGTATACATACAGTCAGTATCAGTCGGTAACGCGTGTGAATAGTGGTGCCTGTTGCGTGGCTCAAACGAAATAAAAAATGGGACATGTTTATGCGGATCGGTTTCCCAATCGAGTGCAACCAACCCGTCGTGCCTTTGTTAATGTAGTACAACGGGCTCGTGAATCAGGTGACTTAAGACCTCACAGGGGACCTCACGATCAAATACAGGTCCGCACTGAAATATTTGTCGGGAGGATACTTTATAAAACAAGGTAAAAAAAAATTTTTTACACACATATTTTGGTTTATCTTCCTTCTACAATCATTATCTGAAAATTAATGACTCAACTTCAAAGTCACCCTGTATATATATATATTAAACATTATTGGTCCTAATAAGGTTCCTTGTGGAATCCCGCGTCTAACAGTGATATTTTTACTTAGTGTACTGTTGATGTTCACACATTATTCCTGTTTTCCAAATAACTATATAATAATAATATAGCTTGTGGTGTTATATCAAGCTTCTACTGAAGAATTATCAAATTGTTTTATTGCACATTTAGATTGATCTCTCCCAATTGATTGATATAATGTACTAGAACGTGTTGATGATGATTTGTCTAACTATTCATTGTCGAAAAGCGATAAACTTTAGCAGACCACCAGTCTCCCGTTTTTGTAACAAGACCCCGATTTCATTTAAAAATGTTCCAAGATGGCACCCAGCCCCTATTTTGAAATTTCAACTCTCGCTTTTATGTTAAAATATAGTATTCATGCACTAATTCGCTCAACCCGAATTTCGGCTTGCTAACTGGACTAGTGCAAATAATAAGTACGGGAGGAGGTAGGAAAAGCACTCTATTGCTTAAGCTGTAGCTACTAAAGTCATAAAATTAGTGAATGCTCCCCCTATACGTTTGGCGAAATTCCCTTTTTTTAAATAAAGGTTTGAAATAGGTCAAGACGCAGTAATATTCAGATAGATTGAAAAATACAACTTGTATTGACTGGGCTACATTCAATATTGACACATAGAACATAACCATCTTTATTACCCAACAGTCTACCAAATACAGGACAACAATACATAAGTATACGTTAGAACCAAGTTAAATGTAACAAAATCTAATTAATAAATGTAAAATATAAACAATAATTGAATTAGCAAAAAGTACGGAAGTACTACAGATTACAGAAAAAATAATATTCGATTTTTGACATTATGTCAAGTATCAATAATATGTTTAACCTCTGGAAAAAGAATATAAATCAGACATTCACAATAAGCATTTTATAAAATTTAACTGCTAGACATATCAAGAAAAGGACAGCCCCTTCATGTGATTCTTTTGTCCAAACACAAACGACCACAATTTAGTATTTTTGGATTACTGTCAAAATTTATATCACCAACAGCAGAAATCGAATTAAAATTTTCACATATACCTAGTCAATACTTGTGCTTGTTCTCTCACAATGGAAGGTTTTAGTATCCCTAGTTCTCAAACAAGCCACAAAGAAATTAATATAACCCATAGATAAAACTAGGCTGGCGTCTAAGTTACTAAGTAAGAGTTTATCACAAATGGTTAAAGAATCACATCCAGACTTTTTATCCATTTATATCATAACCTAAAATCAACGTATGATCGCTTTGCTTTATGATATATAAAAAGGAGTAGGTATATAAAATAAAAAAATGCCATGTGCTGGGGGCCCACTATATTTGTTCCATGTACTTTTCCCGCTGAGCACAAACCTGATGTCAGAATTGGGGATCAATAAACAAATTTTAGAGAAAACGATAAAAAATTGTAACACGGTCCACAAAAAAATAATAAAAAGCTGTACGTGCTGGGCTCCCAGCATATTGTTCCCACGTATTTTTTCCACTGAACCCGATTCTCAAGTCAAAATTGAGGGTCGATATACTGATAAGAAAGTAATTTTAACATCAGAATTACACATTTTTGTAGTTCTGGTGGACGTTCATCTCTAATAAATCTTTGAAAAGGTGAACATCCTCCAAAAACACCATAATGTGTGGTCTGAATGTCTAAATTATTTCCAGATCAGTCCATCACTCCGCAACTTTGACTACAGATACGAAAAATGCACGTGAAAATATAGTGGGACCCCAAGCATCAAAACTTCACAGCTCTCAACGAATATTTTGCATTGTACTAGGTTCTGTATTTCAATGTCCATACTAGGCGCTTCCGATATAACACTTTCCTTTCATTAATTACCTGATAATTGCAACCCAATTAGTGCAATATCGCTGAAAATGGCTACAAAAATGTGGAAAATCCGCTTGTTAACATGCACTGCACATCGCATAAGGAAGGAGAAAACATAATTTGCAATGTCTAGTTCATTGCATTCTACAATTAGCCCAGGAAGTAGTTTGACTAGGTCTTTTGCATAGTCTTATTGGAAAAGGAACCCTTTTAACAAATCTGCGTGTTGTCAGAACCAAAAATTCTATCAAGATCTCAAAAAATTGTTTTTTTTTTCGCTCCGGGCAATGTTTTTCTCGGTTTTTGGGTCACTTTGACGGTTCCTATGAGATATTAGCAATTTAATAATTGAAAAAGTACGAAATATGTCGTTTTCGACCCCGAAAAACAGTATGGGGAAAATTAATTTTGCCAGAGTTCTTAAATATTTCTCGAACATCCATTAAAAAGATCCCTAAGCAGTTTAAGGGGTATTCTTATTGTGAACCTTTGTTTCTCCGGAACAAAAAACAATTTTTGAAATTCAATAAAAAAAATTGTAGTGCGAATATAAACATCGCCTCTTTAATTGCATCGGTTAAAAAGTGTGTAGGTGCGACAAATATTATAGTAACAACATTACGTGTACAGTGTTTGCCATCTTACATTGACCTTCATAATGTTTATAGTGTGGCTCACACGATTATGAGATGGAAAAATTCACATTTAATGTTACAAATTTTGGCAATTATACGTTTAAAGAAACCCTACTACAACTCTGTATATAAAAACACGCCTCTGCTTTTTGCTTCTTCATCCTTTGGATTCGAGCATAGAGCGTGAATCTGGCAAAGCAAATAAAGATATATAACGTTTTATATAAACCTGAGTGGAATGGAATGAAAGAGGAGTTACATCGTCACGGAAAGAACGTGCATTCAGGTGCACGACCAAATGCTTTAGTCCTATATTACGCTTTTTCATCCTTGAATTGAGATTCTATGGGCCAGTAAAACAATCTACCATCCGCCATGTCATGTTCATATGTCAATAAATTTAAGAAGTTTTAGTCTTCAAAGGAGTGAAAAGTAATAGTAGTGATTCAAAGTTCTTCAAAATCGAATGATAAAAAAAGCTAACTGAATCACAACTACACTGCCACGCAAAATTAACCAGACAAACAAAATTTTGTTCAAATTAAATTTTAAATAACTTTTTAACCTTTGCATCAATTTCGTTAATTTTTCCTTCAAGTTGTAGGTAATTTCATTCTCATCATTATCGACTTTCGAACTTGCAAAAGAATTGAAAATGTTTGTTGTTGTACAGGGTGTAACTAAAAGGTGCATTTGGCCCTGAATTTCTGAACACCCTTTGGAAACATTGGATTACTGAATGTCTTCGTACGAGAATTTTAACCCTCAACTTTTCTCAACAGTTCTTCTTTTTATCCATGTCAATATCACAATTATTGAAGAATTTATTTTGTTTTGAAGAAAATCATGGGAATCATAGCCATAAACAAGAAATTGTTTCAGGCAGGATTTGCCGGATAAGAAATTGTTTCAAGTAGGCTGTGCCTATTAGCACTTTTATGGCATGTCAAAAAGATTCTTGTCAAGCAAAATACTCAACAAAAATGTTAGCGGAATACCGTACGCTGAAGGTTGAGAGAAGGAAACCTATCATCTTGTGTACCTGCTACAGGTCCTCTATTAGATGTAGGTCTCACGAAGGCAGCGCTTGGTATTTTCTCGAACTCATGCAGATTGGGATATGGAAGACTGGAAAAACGTTCTTTTTACAGACGAGTCTCGTATCACGAGATATTCACCTGATGGCCGCCAAAGAGTAATGAAAAGGCGTGGAGAACGCTATGCTCAAAGTTGTTTTGCGCCTAGAGTGCAATGTGGTGGTGGAGGAGTGATGGTACGGGCGGTATTTCTTTGTAATCTCGCACAGATCTGGTTTCGCTACGTAGAAGACACCTCACTGCCCACAGGTACATTAAAAAGTGGTTCCTCATATGCCTTTTATAGGAGAAAATTTTCTCCTAATGTAAGATAATGCTTGGCCAAATATAGCCAGAATGACTAGGCAATACCTCAATGATGTTGGAATTCAAGAACTAGCCAAGAAATCCGGATCTCAACCCCATTAAGCACATGTGGGATACATTGGGAAGAAGGCTTAGGCAGAACTATGGAGAATTCCAAACTGTGGCGGTGAAACAGGCGCTGGTAAACGAGTGGGAGCAAATATTCCAAAACATATAATAGCTGGTTTAATTAAGTCTATGCCAGAGAGGATGAGAGCTGTTATTCAAGCCCGGGGAGGAAATACTCGTTTTTGATAAATTTCTAATTACCAATCATGTCACTGTAATTTTTTGAGTTAAATTGTTTAAGGTTATGATTCGCATAGTTTTCTTATCAATGTTGTCACTGTAATTTTTTAAATTAAATTGTTTATGGCTATTATTCGCATGATTTTCTTCAAAACAGCATATATTCTTCACTAATTGAGATGTTGACATGAATCAACAAAGAACTGTTGAGAAAAGTTGAGGCTTCAGTTATCCAATGTTTCCACAGGGTGCTCAGAAACTTAGGGCAAAATGCACCTTTTAGTTACACCCTGTATAACAACAAACACATTTAATATTTTTGCAAGATCGGCAGTCGATAAGGATGACAATGACAACTTGATGGAAAAATTAACTAAATTGATGCAAATGTTAAAAAGTTATTTCAACTTTAATTTGAACAACATTTTGTTTGTCCGTTTAATTTTGCGTGGCAGTGTAGTTTAAATAAATCCTTCGGGCTGATATCCTAATACATCAACATTCAGGTCATATAATTTTTCACTTGACTTCGCAAAAATGATCCGTTCTAATATGATCCTAAAGGTCAAGGTCAAGATCAGATACATAGAAGGCTCGTAAGAATTATGTAGCCTTTAGTATCCCAGTTTTTGGACATGAATTTGAATTTTAAAAACTTGCGACCTCTTTCAATGTACCTTCTTTTCAGCTATTCTACTGTACCGGATTTGCCGTTGTTGCCGTCGGATCTACGTGAAACTACTACACACGGTGTTCCATGCTTTGGCGATACCATGCGTGGCTGTTGGATTCCTCGCCGTGCTCGATTCTCACAACTTAAAGCAACCAAATCCGATCCCGAACTTCTACTCCTTGCACAGCTGGATCGGGTTGGTCTGCATGGGACTCTTCGCCATACAGGTATTTTACCTTTGTTTGTTTGAATGTTTCCCCGCATTATTCAACCGAACTGAAATGTCGAGCTATGCTCAGCTCCGTTTCATACGGATGGTGTCGAGTAATAAAAATATCAATTTCAAGTCCAATTGGTGCAGTTTTGTACAGGGTGATGGTATGCGAATCGACTGATGTGGATAATCTCATTTCATTTCTTTATTCGTAGAACATGTCAATGATATAGTACAATAGAAAAATGGAAAACATACAAAAAATAATAATAATGTATAAATAAAATACATGTAATTCAAAAACTAAATATAAAAATAAATAAGGAAGGTTAAAATTGAGACATACGACATTACGGTGATGACTGTTATAAACAGCATTGTCAGAATTATACATATTAATCGTTTATCAGGTTAGTAGTATTCATGCAAAGAGTAATATGCTTTACTTTTTAATAGTGTCCTAAGTATAAGTTTTAAAATAAATATATAAATAAGAAAGATGGCAATAGGTGAAGGAATACTGCCAGCACTACTACCAGCAAAAACCAAGGATGGAAGAACCACATAGCAGTATTCTTGTTTTATTCTAAAAAAATGGCATCAACTAGATTGACTATACTTCTCAGGCATTCGAAACAACATCTTGTATAATTTTTCATGTAATGAGATGGCATCAAAAAGACGTCGGAACCATCAATGCACTATTTGGGCTTTTCATCAAAAAAAATTCCTCAAATTGCAGCAATGAGCGTGTCCATACATGATAGTCTCATTTCTTTGAAGCTTTGGTGTAAAAATGTTTGATAACTGATTATGATAGCCCTTGATGATATGACTATACAGGGTGTCACGAAAAAAGTGTGCAATATTCTACCAGCGGTTTCTAGAGCTTAAAATAGGAAGAAAAGTTTATATAAACATAGGTCGACAGCGTCCCCTAAGTCCGCTACGGTCTTTTAAAGGGGCCCCCTGAAGATGGTTTTTCCTTAATATTTCCGAAACGTGTTGAGATAAAGACATAAAATTTGGTATGCTAGCCTAGTTTTTTATGCTGGACTCAAAAATATTAACAATTTTAGACAGTTTTGTTTGGAAGCGTATGTAACAGGGACGGACTCAGGTTATTTTAGCTCCAAAATTTTTGTGTGATTCTATTTTTGAAATTCAATTTTAGAATTTGAAAATTTAGGGTTTTCTACATAAAAAAGGTACTCTTATTGAATATCGGTAAATTGTGCCATTTTTGAATAAAATTAAACTAAAAAATTTGTCACATGATAGGAAATCTACTGCGAATTTAAATTGTTGAATAATTAGCCATGGCAACGAAATAACTAATTTAATAATTGGTAAATATTACATAAATATACATTTCTATTGCAACATAGCTAACATTTAGGCAAAAACAAAATAAATAATTTTTTTCTACGAACGAAATTGAAATTTGTTTAAAAAAGAAGACATACAGTTGGATATACTTAAAACTAGCTTAACAATAAGTGTTCAAATAAATTCCCATTTTGTTGGATACAGAGTCTCGCTCGACGAACTAATGATTGCGTAGCCCGAAAAGTGGAAAACCTTTTTCATCTCATTTCATTTGCAGCCGGATGGATTCTTTGAAGTAAATCTTCTTGAGTATTTACTTCAGTCGAGTAAACTAGGTCTTTTAATGACCCCCAAAAATAGAAATCCAATGGATTTAGGTCAGGTGAACGTGGCGGCCACGCTATAGGACCTCCTCGGCCTAACCACCTGTCTGGAAAATTGACATTCAACCAATTTCGAACATTGCGTCCAAAATGTGCAGGGGCGCCATTATGTTGAAAAAACATATTTTCTTGAAACTGCTGGCGCACATCCATTAGTATTATATCCATGAGCTCATTCTGAAGAAAGTTCAGATACACCTCTGAATTAAGACGATTGGGAAGTACAATGGGCCCAATTACTTGATCCCCAATTACTCCTGCCCATAAGTTCAATGAAAATATATGTTGGAAATTTGTACGGCGAACAACTTTTGGATTTTCATCTGACCAGTGATGCATGTTATGGAAATTAAAAGCACCATTCCTAGTAAATATTGACTCATCCGACCATAATATTCTAGGAATAGTGTTTACATTTGCTAATATCCACTGGCAAAACTCGATTCGTTGTAAAAAATCTGCCTCCGTTAAATGCTGCACCCGTTTAAAATGATAAGGATGTAATCCTTGTACTCTTGTCATTCTTCCTATGTAAAATTATTATTTTTAGGATAACTATCAAATAGGTATTCATAAATGTTTCTTACTATTGATCGAGGTATATCCATAATTTCTGAAACACTTAACGTATGCTTATTTGCGGATTATTTTCAAACATATTTAAAGCAATATCCATACGATGATTTTCCAGTGGCCTTCGTGAGCCCTGCATGCGCTGAAAATTTCCATGGTTTGACAAATTCCGGTGAATATCAGTAAACATTCGACGTCCAGGTACTATGCGATTGGGAAATCTTCTTTGATATTCTCTTATGGCTGCCAATGAACTGCCATTGCAAAACCCGTACACAAAATGCATGTAACAGTCAGTTCTCTGTCTGTAAATCTTGGCATTTTAAATCGATTTAATAAAAATTTTGATTTTAATCTAGTAATTTGTACACTGCTAACAATGTCAGCTTAACGTCGAAATAAGTCATAACAAATCAAAACAACTTTTGTTTGCAGTCATGGCTAACTATGTATAATCAACAATTCATTTAAATTCGCAGTACATTTCCTATCCTATGTGACAAATTTTTAGTTTGATTTTATGCAGAAATGGCACAATTTATCGATATTCAATAAGAGTACCTTTTTTATGTAGAAAACCCTAAATTTTCAAATTCTAAAATCGAATTTCAAAAATAGAATCACACAAAAATTTTGGGGCTAAAATAACCTGAGTCCGTCCCTGTTACATACGCTTCCAAACAAAACTGCCTAAAATTGTTAATATTTTTAAATCCGGCATAAAAAACTAGGCTAGAATACCAAATTTTATGTCTTTATCTCAACACGTTTCGGAAATATTAAGGAAAAACCATCTTCAGGGGGCCCCTTTAAAAGACCGTAGCGCACTTAGGGGTTTATCGACCTATGTTTATATAAACTTTTCTTCCTATTTTAAGCTCCAGAAACCGCTGGTAGAATATTGCACACTTTTTTCGGGACACCCTGTATATACTATCATATATAATATTACCCCAAGTAACCTCATTAAACTCCAGGCATGACGCTTATATATGTTTATATAGATCATATCGCGCTCACCTCGTATGCGCATGTCGCGTCACCGTGCCGCCTGCTACCTGCTGCTAGAAGTCACTCGGATCAACTACCAAAGATGCAATATTTACGACCCCGTGGCGCGTTTGCTGAAAATATTTTTCAAGTTTCAAAGGCAGATGTGCGGGGAAATCTATGATGTGTGAAATGTCTTATAGGTGCGTAAAATTACCGAGGTTGGGAGCGCATTGATATACTAACATCAAAAAATTGTGATATAACCTCCCTCAAATCCCCGCCACACCACGATTTTTGACCCCTACAAAAATGTTTCTGGAAATGATCGGGAGCCTCTGAAATGCCGAAAAAAAAGGAGTTCAAGTGATTTTTATTTATCTATTTGTGTCCTTAGCTTCCGCCACTGAAATTACAAGGCTTGTTATAGACGGGCCAAGCATTAACCGACAGACAGGCAGAAGACCAACAGCAAATAAAATCCTGCTCTACCGACATCTCAAGTTAGACCCGTTTTACACACAAGAGAATTACTCTGAAAATTTTGGTCATACTTATGCCGAAAATGTTTGCTGTCGTATTACACGTAAAAGAATTCTTGTGAAAATTTTCATGGTGAAAATATAAAACCCGTTCTATAGAATATGCGCGAGAATCGGCGCAGAGGGTTATTTCCTTGCATGTCAATATCAAATGTCAACGTCAACAACATAACCTCACTTAACATTTGTGGCTGTGGTCCTGTTCGCGTCGTACGAAGAAGCGTTTATTGTTATTGTTTATTCATAATGTCGTGGAATCGGGAAGAAGTTACACTGTTGTTGGAAGAGTACCAAAAATGGCCAAACCTGTACAAGGTGAAGTCACTCAATTACAAAAACAGAAATTTGCGGCGACAGGTGCTAGATGCGATAGTCCAAGCATTGAGAAGTTTTATAATATTAACCAAGATCTCGATTTCAAAAATAAATTTAAATCAGCGACGTATGTTGTTTTTCTGATTATATTGGACGTCATACCCGTTAAGGTTATGTCCATTCGAAAATATTACACTAATGCGCAGGCGTTTCATATGAATTACTGCGAAATTTTGTTTGCTTGTGTCATACAGGTTGTAGAGAAAATCTTCAATATTTTTTCCATGCAAATTTTCGGCATAATTATGATCATAATTTTCGGAATAATTCTCTTGTGTGTAAAACGGCTCTTAGTCAATAATATCTCAGGTTCTCGTGCCACAAGTCATTTCACGTCAGCCAAGATTCTGTTAAAACTGTAAATATTAAAAAATGTTGCGCGTCTCACAATTTGGAATTTATCTTAAAAGGAACTCCGACACCTTTATCCACTTAACTTTTCTCAACTCTAAGTAAATTGATTGGCATTTTCGTCGATTCAATTTTCCTCAATATTCCTCGGGCACAGCGTGCGCCCGACTCACGATGTGGGTCAGACGGCTTTCCATTTCTAAGAAAAACACCTCAACTACAAGACAGTTCACTGCAGGCAAACAATTTGTTTAACATCTGCACGAGATCTTGTCATGCCTGATAGCTTTCAACACTCCCCAATGGGTTGATATGTTAATTTGACCGCACCCAAACCACCTGTTCGTAAACATGACCTACGCGTATTGTAATAATGGACTGAAGAATTGTCAAACTTTATATTCTACTTCCAACGCCAACCAGCGAGGAAGCATTATAATCGCGGAAAATTTTGAAATTGAAAAATATAA